GCTCACCTCCTTTTCCTCCTTGCAGTTCTCAAACAGCTAGAAGAACTGCTGAGTGATATGAAAGCTGATGTGACTCGACTCCCAGCTACTATTGCCCGGATTCCCCCAGTTGCTGTGAGGCTACAGATGTCAGAGCGTAACATTCTCAGCCGCCTGGCAAACCGAGCGCCTGAACCTACTCCACAGCAGGTAGGACCATTTTCTTTTCTTTTTTAAAAAAAATATATTTTTACTGATTTCAGAGAGGAAAGGAGAGAGGAGAGAGAGAGACATCAATGATGAAAATTATTGATCGGCTGCCTCCTGCATGCTCCCCACTGGGGATCAAGCCCACCACCTGGGCATGTGCCCTGACCAGGAATCAAACTGTGACTTCCTGGTTCATGGGTTGATGCTCAACCTCTGAACTACACTGGCCTAGGGCAGGTGTCAAACATTTTTTAGCTCCATTTTAAACTTATGGTGCAGTATGGTAGCAATCATCTCAGGTAGAAACTGTAGTTTAACTTTAACCCTGCTGTTTGGCTTCTGTACTTACTTGCTTTGTTTAACAATAGAAAAGTTACTTTGATTTTCTGAATTGTATAAATCATCCCATTCGATTGGATGCCTTATTGATTGTAACGTGACTATCCCATTGATTGTTATCTTACTGGTTTTAGAAAGCACATTCTTCTGTACCTGGGAAACAGGACAGCACAATTATCCTAAATTGTCTTAGTGGCCATAGATAATGCGTTCCAGTTGACTCAGTGGTCCAAGACCAGGACAGTGCAATTACTCTAAATTGCCTCGATGGCTCTAGATAATGAATTCCTGGCAACTCAGTGGTCTCAAGACCTGAGGGCTCTAGATAATGTGTTCCTGTCAACCCAGTGGTCCCAGATAATGTGTTTCTGTCAACTCAGTGATTCGAAGACCCAAAACTATAATTAACATGCTTAATTCTGCTTCTGTAAACTGCTTTTTTTTTGCGAACCAGGTTCCTCATTCCAAACCCTGGGATGTAATCAATACCTTTATGATCTTTGCCTATATAAGTCTGGTGGTAGGCCATCTTATTACTGTGAGATTTGGGAAAGCAAAATGGCCCCTCATAGTCCCGGATTGCAGTAAATGTGACTCTTTAATTCGACTTCTTTAGGAGTCCTTCTGTTATTCTTGGGATACATTACAACAATGGGACCACTCTACCTGGTTTGGCTCTGTGGATGGAGCTTCAGCCTGCGGACTGAGGGGTCCCAGGTTCGATTCTGGTCAAGGGCACATGCCCTAGTTGCAGGCTCGATCCCCAGTGGGGGGCGTGCAGGAGGCAGCCGATCAATGATTCTCTCTTATCATTGATGTTTCTATCTCTCCCTCTTCCTTCCTCTCTGAAATCAATAAAAATATATTTAAAAATAAATAAATAAACTTATGGGACCATTGACTAAAACATTATGTCATAAAGTATTAAATAGTTTGTATTACCTAAATTGTCCTCCTTAAGCAATATTTAAAAATTGATTTTATTATTTTTAAAATTAATTAATTTTTTAATCCTCACCTGAGGATATTTTTCCATTGCTTTTTAGAGAGAGTGAAGTGGAAGAGAGAGGGAAAGACCGATAGAAACATGTGTGTGAGAGAAACACATTGATTGGTTGCCTCCTGAACGAACCTCAACCAGTGCCCCCATAGGGGAGGAGCTTGCAACTGAGGTATGTGCCCTTGACCAGTATCGAACCCGGGACCCTTAGGTCTGCAGCAGGCACTCTATCCACTGACCCAAACCGGCTAGGGCTAAAAAATTGATTTTAGAGCCTGCCCATGTTGCTCAGTGGTTGAGTGTCAACCCATGAACCAGGAGGTCATGGTTCGATTCCCAGTCAGGGCACATGCCTGGGTTATAGGCTACATCCCCCGTGTGGGATATTAGAGAGAGAGGAAGGGAAAGGAAGAGAGAGTGAGAGAAACATCAACGAGAGAAGAAACATAGATTGGCTGTTCAGGAATCAAATAGCGACCTTTTGGTGCACAGGACTTCACTCTACCACTGAGCCACATCGGCCAGGGCCTTAGCATTTTTTAACAGTAGTAACCTGTCAGATAAATACTGAAGTATTTACAGATGAGATAATGAGATTTGATTTAAAATAATTCTACTGGATGGGGATTGATTAAACAGAGGTTTGTTGTAGGTGGCAGGAACAGCCCCAGGTATTAGACGGGTGGGGTTGAACCTGACCTGGGTTTAGCAACCTTGATACTTGAGTTTTGGTTAGGAAAGAATTCAGAACCAAGACTCAAACTATACCAGAACATCTATCTATATCAGGGGTGGGCAAACTTTTTGACTCGAGGGCCACAATGGGTTCTTAAACTGGACCAGAGGGCCGGAACAAAAGCATGGATGGAGTGTTTGTGTGAACTAATATAAATTCAAAGTAAACATCATTGCATAAAAGGGTACGGTCTTTTTTTTTTTTTTAGTTTTATTCATTTCAAACGGGCCGGATCCAGCCCGCGGGCCGTAGTTTGCCCACAGCTCATCTATATATATAAAAGGCTAGGTGTCTGTCCTTCTGACCTGGAACCTGGAACCTTTGTCTGCTGGAACCAAAGAATGAATCCATGGACAGAAAGTGATATAGCAAAGGTGGGAATTCATTGAAGAACAAGTACAGACTCCCACATGGGAGAGGGAAGAGTCCCACGGAATGGACTCCACCTAGCGAGGGGAAAAGGGTCCCACTGAGTTCCTTTTCCCTGTAGTTTATAAAGGCTGCAGTTCCTGTGTCCTGATATCCGCTCTGATTGGTCAATATTCCCCTCCAATTGGTTACTACAGTGATTCCTAAGGCTCTCCTCCCTCACAGTCCTTCCATTCCTCTGGGCTTTCTTCTTTTCCATCTGAATGAAGGGCTTCCTTCTCTTTATTTTGTAATTATAGACCTTTCTTGGCTACTTCCAGTTCCGTCTTATGTAAATGCAATTGTTGCTGCTCCCTTGCCTATGGAGATGTGACTGCACCTGGCTGCCTGATGTTATGGAAATGTACCTTCTCCCAGTCTGCCGTCTGCGCTTTTCCATGGACCCCAATTCTAAAAAATCCCCAAGCCTGCCTATGTTCCCCCCAAATTCCTGCTTCAGCTATGATGCGCACTGACCACCAGGGGGCAGATGCTCAACGCAGGAGCTGCCATGACAGGCACCATGGACCTGGCACCCACAAACCAACCCGTAGCTTCCCCCAATTGGGACACAGGCCCCGCCACCGCCCCAGAGCGACATCCCACCCAATTGCAGCAAATGCAGCCAAGCCCCCATGGCGCAAAATGAGGCCCACAGCCCAGCCCCAAAATGGTCGCTGTGGGTGCTGGGTAATGACGTCACATAGCAACGCCTGGCTTCCTCACCCTAGTGACAAGCATCCTTGGAGTTTCTTCAGCCCAGGAACAGGACTTGCTTTAGAGCCGGGTACAAAGATTTTACAGTTTGACCAATTATTTGTGAAGCATTTTTCCCGTGCCTCATCTCATTTGAGCCTCACAGAAGTCCTGGAGTAGGTAGATAGGAGACTCAATAGAATCCTATTTTCTTTTCATTAGCAAGACACGAATAGTGATATTAAAATATTTCTTCTAATTAATTTCCTTTCAATGTGCACAAATTCGTGCACCAGGACACTAGTTTATTTATAAAATTACAGAGGTAGAAGAAGTAATTCATAGAAGAAAAGGGCTGAGGAAACACGTTATAGAGGCATAGCAAGGGCCCTAGGAGTTTGGGAGTGAGGAAGGTAATGGTGAATCACCTATGGAAAGGGGGAGGGGACGAGAGGTTGGATGGGAAAGGCACTGGCATGCTCCTGGGAGGGAGAGTGAGCTGGGTCCTCTGTCCTAAGAGTTTTAAAGGTGGAGGTTTTAGGGGAGGTCCCAGGGGAAGATCTCAATAGAATATTCAGTGGCTTTTCAGGTGTGTCCTTTTGAGAGGGTTTGGAATGCAGGCAGATAGGGCAGGGGTCTCATGGAAAACAACGGCAGGGGCGGATGCGGCAGTTTGAGCCAGCCTAACCACAGGAACCGACCAAGCAGAAATAACGTTTTTGGACTCAAAGCGGGAGGCATGGGAAACCAGAGGAGGGCCTGCAGTAAACAAGATGTACGGACACTTAGACACAGAAGAAGTTCAGGATAGGAACAGAGAAAGAACACACAGAAACAGGGAAAGTTTAGGTCCGTTGCTGGGCAAAAACAATTGAGGGAGTCAGTCAGGTGACAACACACATAGATATCGAAGCAGGCTTGTGGCAAATATGTACCCCCGGACTACAAGGCTTTAACGGGCAGCCCATTCTTGGGTCCCCCTCCCCTTGCGGGAATCTGAATCTGCTTGTAATAAATTTTCCACACCTTTGCTTAAATCTTCTGGTCCGTGTAGCTCATTCTTCAGCATTGTGAGACTCAACCCTGGGGAAAACACCTTGGCTCACCGTTCTGGTTATCACTTTCAAGGCCCGGGTCTCCACTGATGGGTTGGTTGGCACCAGGGCAGGGGTCATTATTCAATGCAGCTGGTCCTGAGGTCAGCCATGGCATTGCTTGTCTGGTTTTGCTGCTTTTCTGGGCGTGGAGCTACATACACCTGAGGCCTAAATGTTATCTCTAGGAAGGAAAGGTCAGGGGGTCCAAATCACAGGACTAAGGACAAGCTAGGGGGGGAAGGTCACCCCGGGGGCAAGTCCCACCCTACAATTGTCCTTTGCTGTAGGCACCTGGGCTTCCTGCCCTATTAACCTTCTGTATTTGGCCCATCGTCCTTGTCCTGCTTATATCTGTCCTTTGGGTTTGAGACAAGGGTTTTGGAGGTCGAGGATCAGAGTGAGGAACTGAGGAGGGTTACTCCCCTGCACCTGGCAGGGACAACGTATTTAAAAAGTCTAACCCCCAGGGTAGGATAAAAAAAGATGGGCACATGATGGGCAGATGATAATTATTATTGAAACTGGCTGGTGGATACTTGAGGATTCATTATGCTATTTTCTCCACTTCTGTGAATGTTTGGAATATTCCATTGTGCATGAGAAAAGGGTTCTGCAGAAAACCTCACAGGGTGATCTGATCATAAATTGCTAACTGGGCAGATCATGATGGGCATATGACTTTTTAGTCAAAGATTTATTTTTGCTCTGGCTTTTGTGGCTCAGTTGGTTGGGCATTTTCCCATGCACAAAAATGGTTGCCGGTTCGATTCCTGGGCAAGGACAAGTACCTCGGTTGCATGTTCAATCCCCAGCCCTGGTCAGGGTACTTGCAGGAGGCAACTATTAGGGTTACCGAAGGAGGTACACACGAGAACAAAAGCGGTAAAGAATTTTATAAATTTATTAGATCATCTGGAGACCAGATGGGCCGAGACCCAAAATGGTGCTAGCACCCAGGGTTGGGGGAGTCAGAGATTTTAAAGGATTCTAGGCGGGCTTTTTCAGCAGGGAATTCTCTGGTTGAGTCCAGATCCTGGGCAAGTCTGGAGGAGAAAGTTACTGGTTTTAGCAAATGGAGTGTGGTCTAAGTGAAAGGGAATGTAGGTTGGAAAATGATCTAAAGGTCAGTTTCCCAGGTGAGGGGATATAGATTCAATTATTTGATCAGACCTAACAGTAACCAATTGATGTGTCTCTTTCACATTGATGTTCATTTCTCTCTTTTGCTTTCCTTTCCCCTCTAAAATCAACAGAAAAATATCTTCATCTTTGGGTGAGGATTAACTAAAATAAAATAAAATAAAACAAATAAGTAAGTAAAATAAGTTTAATCACCCTCTTAAGAGCACATAATCTTGTTAACTATCCTGTAATCTAATTCCAGCCCGGCTTTCTCCCACCTTCAGGTAATCTTTCTTAAATTCAATCCTTAATTTCAAATTCATAAAAGAAACCACAAAACTCAATTTTCCAGAGTATTTGAGATCTTGCTTCCCAATAATTGCTGCCAGTTTGGCTCAAATAAACTCTTATAGTTTTTTTTTTTACAGGTTTGAATGTACTCATTAAGACCATTATGAAGAAAAGAAGAATATGGGCTTTTCAATTATAGACTTTCAAACCCAGGCCCTGGAGGAGTGGCTCAGTGGTTAGAGCTTGACGGATGTGCCAAGGTTGTGGGTTCCATCCTGGATCAGGGCACATACAAGAATCAACCAATGGAGGCATAAATGAGTGGAACAATAAACCGATGTCTCTCTCTCTCCCTCCCCCCCTCTCTAAAAATCAATAAATAAAAATAAAAAATAATGTTAAGCCAGTTATGACTGCGGGTTTCCTCATTAATGATAGGGTCACTATAACGTCACGGGGACGCTGTAAGGAGCGGTGCAAGCAGAGTGCCTTATGAAACACTGTTTATTGTTACTATTATTACTGTGGTTGCCAACACCAGTTTCCTCCTCTTCCGGTAAAAAGGTTTCTTTCACTCTTACTCTGCTCCTTTCCCGTGGTTCCTCCCTCCTCCTTCCCTCACTCCCCCCCAGTCCCCGCCTCAATGGTTTAGCCCGGCTTCCCCAGAGGAAACCCCGAGGGGCGGAGCACCAGGTGTCTGCTAGCGGCTCGGCCCCCTCCCCCGAGACCACTTGGATCGCTCCGCGTCTGACCGGGGGCCGGTGGTCGAGGGGCGGGGCGCGGGTCCGGGCTCCGATTGGTCATAACAAGGTAAACATCCGGATGCGTGGGGCGGGGCCGGAAGTGGAAGCGGAAGGCGGCAGCTAAAGCGGTTCTGGAGGTTCGGGACTTGGAGCCGCTGCCTCCAGGTGCCATGGGCCAGGCTGAGGCGCGCTGAAGGGACTCGGGACGCTGCAGGGACTTGGGGCTGGGCCATGGCTGGCGCTCGGGG